ATTAGGTTGATTATTTTGTCGATTAAATACCACAATGAAGCTATAAATCATCGTTTTAGAGAATTAAAAATAATAACAAAACAAGCCATGACAACAAGGAATCTGAAAAAAATATAAAAGTTGCAGGTATCACAAGATTTTTTTTGAATTTAAATAGTTGTTTAGATATAAGCTAAGAAACAGGGATTTTTTTTTGAAAAACGCAAATTTCAAACCTCAATTCTCAGAGTTGACTTCATACAAATGTTTGTTTGTAACAGCCAAAGTTATAATTTGGAGCTTTTTTTTATCATTTCTGCATTTCCCTGATAAAGCTTGTAACAGCATCAAAAACAAGAAGAAGCAGAAGAAATGTTTCCTTAATTACGTGACGAGCTCAATCCGGTAAGCAGAAATTGAAAATGTTCTCGTTGTTCGTTGGCAACTGCCTCGAAAGGCATCTAGGGGACTCCATACTATTAAGCATTGAAACTGCAAGGGATCCAATTTGAAATTTCTGTAAAGATCAGTTCGGATTCTGCTTCTGATAAGAGAAACGGTCCCATAGCGGATGCCTACATTTTAACAAGCCCTGTCGCAGAGCGGGTCTTACAGCTAAAATCCCCCCCTCCCCCCCCCCCCCCCCCAAGCAAACAAGTGATTGTAATGTTGTGTACTACACTACTGTCACTGTGCGGAGAAGTAGATTTACTTCCTGTGCTACGACGAGAACATTTTTATCGCGTTACTCTGCCGTGTTGTTGGTAAATTTCTCCCGGGACCCCCACCGTACATTCCCGGATACACGGCCGATTAAATCAACTTAATTTTGAACTTGGTTCTCTCAAATTCGCAAAAAAAAAAGTAGGTTACTGATAGACTGAGTAAAATTTTACTCGATTTTCCATGAAAAACTTTTCGAATTTGAGGAAAATCGAGAGAGGTTGTCTTTTAGTATACTCCTAGACTGAATAATTTTTTTGTTGATTTTCCTCATATTTGAGCAGAAACGTTTTTTTTTTTGTAAAGATTTTGAGTGCATAACCTCTCAATATTGAGTTGATCTCATCGACCGTGTATAAAGCTCCATGTTGTCGCTTGGTTTGTTTGCTTCTTCTCCACCGGCAAATGTAAATAAGTAACTGGGAGGAACAAAGATAAGTTGGTCTCCGTCCGCCCTGTGCCAGTGATGACTATGACTATGGCTGGTAAGATGATTCAAGTTCCATAAAAGCTACGACGTTGGCAGCAGCAGCAGCCGAGGATGAAAGGATATGAAAGTCCAATTATTTTAAGTGATTACAACAGACACTGTGGAATGACTTTTGATTTATTAAATACTATGGCTACTGAAGTTGACTGTCCTAATCGGCTTTAGTTAGAAGGGGGAAAGGCAAAAGGGAAGAAGCTGGTTCTACTCTAAAACATAACCTAGATGACAGTTTGATTGAGAGCAATGTGTTCTCGTTTGCAAGTTAATCCCTTTGGGTTGGTACCGTTTGCTGAATGGGGCAGACCGTATCTTCTACGATGGTTTTCCATGTGGTAAATGTCGGGATCATTCCTTTTATTTAATTGAGAAGCATTCTGTTGACATGCATTCAAATTGCTGCAACACGAGTAGGAATTGCTTTCGGGGGACTGTTCAACTCTCAATGTGCAACTTTCTCAGCTTTCGAATTCGATTAAATAATTTAAAGTGTATAATCCATCAGCTTTCCCATCACGCCACAAACGTCGAATAAAGTTGCCATTCCCTAGTGTCATTCCAACAGGGGGCTGCACGTGTCTGTCATGCTGCACGTGTCTGTCATGCATACACCCATCCATCACGCCACACCATTCTGGTGTGAATTAATTTATGCGGTTATCTCTTTAATTGAAAATTTTCGCACCGCAAAAATGGTTATACTATAATCCTCACATACACACACGTGGTCGGTGGGAGGGCTGTGCATAAACCCGGACGGATGCCTTCCCTGGAGAATCCCCGGAATTCGCTGCCGGACGGCTATAATTTTTAATTCTTTAAGCGGTGTCGTAATTCCGAAAACTCACACTTGCAAAATTTGCACATCACCTTTAAAAATGAGTTATTTAACAACGTAGCCTTGTCTAATTTGCGATCAGACTGATTCTCGCTAACATTAGTGACAATTTTTGAATTTACATTCGAGGGCGGTTCATAAACTACGTAAATACTACGTAATCCTCCTTTGATATAAAGGATGAGACGTTAACAAACATGTCATGTAAAATTAAGTGCTCCGAGAATGAAAAGTCCGGAGTAAATTGTGATTAGGGCGAAACTAGGAAAATGTAAACAAATGGAGAAAAACCGAGCATGTTTTCAGGTGTTAGTATAATTTTTAATTGGTTTGTTTTCCGTCGATCTTGTTTCCCGTCCTGAGCACCAATGCTACCAACGTCAGGGAGGCAGCTCCCACACCTGGACCCTACCTTTCGACCCATCAGCTCATGAACCGAGAACCAACGGCTGTTCTTCCCTTCCGAAGGAAGACGTGATCAGAGATGTTATGCCTCAGAACATCCCGGCGGCGCCGACTGGAATTGAACCCAGGCCTGCTGGGGTGATAGGAAATCACGCTTACCACTAAATACACCACCGGCGCCGCTATAGAGGAAGAGATGAAGAAGGTATTTCTACTCTCGGACTCGGTCACTGGCATGCGAGATCACATTGCTGCTCAGATGGACATCGCGTTAAAAAGCAGAATGGCATACATTAGACAAAATGTAAATGGTCTAGAAAAATTAATGTAAGAGAAATTTGACAGTATGAAAAGTTCACTTTTAAAAATAAATGCGGAAAATAAATAAGCTGTATCCTGATGAATGTGGACTGGACACACCAATTATTAGTACAAGACACTGAAGAAGTCTGCACATTATAGACGAAATACGCGTATCTGTCTAGGATAAGCAAATAAGGTAGTGGAATGAAATGGAAATTACTAATCCGTCTCTCTCTCTCTTTATAAATAAGCTGTACTTTAACTTTTTTTTGTATTACTTCTGCGTGAAGTTGACGATTTACATAGTTGAAGATGCTAATTTCAAATAACAGACTAAAGTGGTAATTTGTATACGATAGATAAGGAGATGAAAGTATAGAAATGATAGTTCCGTTAGAGTACGGCAGTGTGAAAATTGTATATAGAGAGTAGAAAGCGAGCAAAGGTCAATTTTGAGGAAGACACGAATTGGGTTTTGTTTTTCCTTGATTTGTTTTCCGTCGATCTTATTTTCCGTGCTGAGCACCAATGCTACCGAAGCCAGGAAGGCAGCTCCCACACCTGGACCCTACCTATCGACCCATCAACTCATGAACCGGGGACCAACGGCTTTACTTCCCTGGCGTGATCAGAGATGTTATGCCTCAGAACATCCCGGTGGCGCTGACTGGGATTGAACCCAGGCCTGCTGGGGTGAGAGGCAATCACGCTTACCACTACACCACCGGCGCCGCTACACGAATTGGGTTGATCATCTCCTTTACCAAACTCTCCTACCCAAAAAATGATATCTACAATTGTCTTAAAACTCTTGTCACAACTCTTTTAGAGTTCTTCCTAGAACTAGATTAGATTTTTTCCCTGAAATGCATTGGTTCCCATTACATTTTCCATGGATCCAGTTGAATATTCAAAAAATTCCTGTGAAATTTTCACAACCCTGTTCTTATAAATGTTGACTGAATCTTTAAAATCCAATGCAGTCCAAATTGCAAAGATATTTCCATGGTCCAGAATCTCATTTGTTCTCAGAGAGCAGGCGAAGTATAATTATCCCTATGGGTCTTTCAGGTAATATACATTTTCATAAATTCGAAGATTTTTCATTTATCATCATCATCTAAAATATGGAATATCCTGAGTACTTGGCACAAAAGATTGGCGGATAAGATGTTAGATAATAGTTTCATGGTATGCAAAGATAAATTCGCCGAAGGGAGTTACTTAGGACCTAATCCATTGTCATCAAAAATCGTGTAAACTACACAATTCTATTCACCGATCCGTATCAGTCCACCGAAAATCCTACATTAAATGACCCGTAAAAGCAAAATCCTCTCATCTAATCCTCCCATCAATAAATTCAATTTGATTACATAAGCCGCGCGGAGCAACGTGGCAGTGAAAGCTTAACTTTCAATAGTCACATTTCCTCCGCCGGTGGTAGCGGGGCGGCTGTTGTGGTGATGTTGGTATCATGGGATAAAGCCTGATACACTGCTGGATGCCCGTGCAGCATCATTCCATCTCTAATCAGCATCACACACCCACACCGATGTTCCACATAGGCTCGGCTTACGTCCCCGTCTAATGAAGAGTTCAACCGTATCGAAAATGGTTTCCGTACAAATTCTGCTGATTTGGCGTGGTTGCGGTTCACCGAGCGGCCAACGTGCTTGCGGGCTAGAGCTGTGGATGGATGGGATGACACACCGCACCGCGCGTGTTAACTGCCCGGGTTCCAATGGGTGGTCTCATTAGGGGCCTTTCCCCCTCTCTAGTTCTAGGTTCAAATGGGAGCAGTGGGGCACGATGGGGGCTAGAGTTTTATGCGGTTGAATTACTCGTTGATGCGGTTGGGATTTCGTGTGCTGCAGTGACTGTTCGTGCCGAATGAATCCCGTCGGGAATAGCGATGAGCTTGCATTACGATGCAATTTGCAATGGGTCCTTCAAGCGCCGTTGACTTCAAGGTGAATTTTGTCGGTTATAAATTTAGTTCGCCAATTCCAAGATTTTCTGTAGAGGAGCTGTTCCCGTGTAACGCACAACAACATCATCAAAATTCATGAAATGTTGCTGGCACAAGGCTCCGAATCAAAGCAAAAACTCTATCAGCAGCTTCATGCTTGCGAACACAATATTCTCGGTGCATAACCATTTTACAGCATTGCAATATCCACCCGGACCAGTAGTGTAGTCGTTCCACGAAGCATAAAATATATGGTTTTATCTCACATACACACCATTCTGTTCTACTTCCAGGTATCAACCCCGACCGGTGTTATTTCACATTTCGTAAATCTGCAAGTGGTCGTACCCGAAGCGTTCATACTCGGTTCCGGCGAGCTGCACGTGGATATGGGATCAACAATCAATTTAGTTTGCATAATTGAGAAGGTAAGTTGCTATTTTAGCCCCGCCCGGCGAGGGTGCCACCTTGTACACGAGTACTTGTGCCGGATGAGTATTTCCTGGAATCCGGGTTATGAAGCGGTGGCAGTCAGCAGTCTACTACTGGCAGAGTTAAGCTTTTTTCCTTGCTGCCACTTTCCGTTATGAACCACCGTAAAGCTGTGTGCCATAACATCATGCTTCGTTCCATTCGGTGGATTCCGGCCCCGAGCAGGAAGCCCAATGGCAGCAGTTGACCCTTTAGTTATTTTTATACATTTCAGCGGTGTTTCCAGGTTTGAGGGTCACTCAGTCCCGTCGTTGTGCCCATGTCCTTGAACGCCGCTTCCGGAAAACTAGTTATTCTAATAAGATTATACCTGGCGAAAGCAGCTCTACCGCACTGTGTAATGTTTGCTCACCAAAACCAAGATTCCATTTTGGGAGCACCAGGTGGATGAACAACCCTGCAAAAAAAAACAGCGGAAGTGGATTCTTCCCTGGTTTGGTTGTTTACCGTTTATGCATAGTTTGGTACTCAAGCCACCGGATAAAAATCTGGTCGGTGAAAAATAAGGATTAAATTCTTTTTCCCTCCCGAATATGGTAAAGATGGTTTCCGATGATCTAATCGACGCACTTTTAAGGGAAACTCCATCCCTCCATCTGCCGGCAACAAAGTAAGCTAAATTAGCTTCCGGAAGTTAATTTCCAATCTAAAAGCAATTACCCACCTCGGCATCGGCAGCCTTAAATGCCACCCTTGAGACCGTGTAGAATCAACCAGTCAGTCAGCCAGCGTTGACGGCGATTAATTGCAAAACTGTGGCTGCAACTGTTGGCAAGCAATTACTGCTGCTGCTGCTGCTGCTGCCACCAGCAAATCAACCCAATTGTACCATGCGCCGGGGAACGATAACTTCAGCGAATGTATTTATTTGTATGAAATGGGATTTCGCCGGGTGAAGTCCTAGGTATAGGGTACAAAGTAATCTCGTTATCGTCAGGCTGGAACGAAAAAATTGCTACAGTTGTAGGCACAGTACAAGATTCAAACCAGCTGGAGCTGCCCGCGGATGGAAGCCAAAAATAAAAATAAAAAAATAAACAGCTCAGAACCGAATTGGTAGCTTGGTACATATGGTGGTGAATGGCCATTTCGTTTTAATGGCATGAAACGAAACCGAGTTTATGATGAGGCCGATTCCTGGCAGTCATGTAGGTTGTTCGAGGGTTGTTATGTTTTCGCGGGATAAATTGATACAACATTTCCAAGATTGCGATGTTGTTCCGGCTCGATGGATACGGACATAGTTCTGTGCAGGGCTGTGGAGTTGGATCAAAATTGACCGACTATGACTCCGATTGAAACAATATTCGATACAAATTTACTTCAATGATGTTCAGTTTATTTTTTTTATTTAAGAAAATATCAGGGCAGATCGGCTATAATTACACAGAGAACCTTTAGACGATGCTTGGGACTAGCAATCATCCCCAATGTGTAAATACTGGTGATCTAAAGCTAAGCAATACCAGCGCCAGCCGCGTCCGATTGCTGATCAAGAAGAGCATGTGTAGGAATATGTTGACATCATACTCGCTTTAATGAAAACCGAGAACACCTCTGCACTTCCTCCAGAAATCATTGCGATGTTGTATAAAAGATCTGGGATTGTTTTCGTAAACGATATGCTGAATTGATGTCCTAACGATTCATAAGCGCGAATGAGCGTTGGATTGAATCCACGGTCTTCTGCTCAGTAAGCAAAATCGGTCGTCACAAGGCCAACGAGCTCCCTATATCACAGAACAATTGAGATCAAGTTTCCGTTCAGCTTGTTGTCACTGCATGATGAGCAGCACCGTACTCTACAGGTGGCGAATATGGCATTTGCCACATAACAAAACGCCAAGGGGCGAAAGTGGCTCAAATGTTTCTTGAACATCTACCTTTTTGAATTTATGATTAATTTACAAAAATTCCGCCAACTCTTTCCATGCACAATAATTTTCGTTTTTTTATTTATCTTATATCATCCTAAACTTTCTCAAAATTTCAGGAAAAACCTTGAACAATTTCTAAAAAATTTCATAAACATTCGTGAGCAAAACAAAGTTTCCAAAGCTACACACTTAGAAAAAAATCATGTAAATGTAGGTGCTTTGAGGCTGACATATACGAGTGTCAATTTTGACATAAAATTTAGTCAAAACAGACGCTAAATTCAGCTCAATCAAACGTACTTTTCGACGATAAAAGAACTTTTCAGTCTCGGAGCACTTAATTTTACATGACATGTTCGTTTACGTCTCATCCTTTATGTCAAAGATGGATTCCGTCACGTGTGAGATTAGGTATTTCTAAGTGAGTAAATTGATGCAAAATGGAGCATTCCATGTCGTAACGGAAACTTTCATCTAGCAAATCTCGTGAACCCAACGTTTGCTACTTTTGGCAAAAGTGGAATGCCAAATTCCGCGAGCATGTGAGCATGTCAATAGCGCAATCGTAGGTACGCAAATCTTTGAAATAACAACCAGAGATGTTTGTGCTGTTACAATTAATGTTACCAGATACCGATGATATTTTTTGTATCATGTTTTTGTTTAAGACGTTCCCAACGATTCATCATTTTCCCTACCGAACTGTAGCTTTTCTGAAGCAATTCAATATTTTATGACCTGAATACACGGATCCAGTGTTTCCAATTTTTTCCGAAGTGATTTAAAATGGTCCATGGTCCAGTACTTTCAAAAGTGGTCCTAAACTTTTCTAACGCTATTCAGCACTTTCTGAAATAATTCTGAACTTTTCCAAAGGATTCCAAACTTTCCTCATATAATGTGATGTCAGTACAGATAGATCTCGTTTTCGGAAACATAACTACAGTGCACTACCTACAACTCGATATTAAAGAGACCATCGAGTTATGGAATAACAGTCAATATATATCAATATATATCAATATATATATCAAGCTAGTGGACATTGAGTTATGAAGAGATGACTGTACTACATGTATGTTGCCAAAATCGATGTTTCACAATTGAGTACTAATATGGCTTAGCGATGAGAATTAATACTCTCTTAAGGGGGTAGCACCATAGAGGTAACTCTAAGACCAGTGGGTCCCGAAGAAAATCATTATTATTTTTGGCTCACTCAGTACCAGAACAACGGTCCCAAGCAGTCCCAAGCTATTTCACTCACCCCTGCATGTTCTGCATGAATCCACACACCCCTGATGTTATCTGTCAAACTTTCATAGCGAATCAAAACAAACATAGTGTAGTAATAGAATTTCAACTAGAATAGGGTACGTTAATCGTTTGCTTGGGACCAATAGGCTACTAAAGTGGTGAGTCAATTTAAAATCGTTAGTTTCGTATTGATTGTTGGTAGTACACTTTGAACGTCCAAAAAGTAAGGCATTTTCGTTAATTTTTTTAAGCAATAAAACACTCAGGGAGGGCAAATATGTTATAACCCATTTATTAGTTATCCTTCGAACTACCATTTGTATTTTTTTTTTGAACTCGCTTGGCGTCTCCCCGTGGCCGTCCTCGCGCGGAAGTCGGAAAACGGCGTGGGAAAATACTCCTCTCCATGTGATCCTGGAACATAAATCGAACAAAAATCCTGATTAGTATTGAAATTTGGGTTAGAAATAAGTATTCCGATTTGTTTTTAAATTAATTTTTTCAAAAGTTGTGGCCTTAGGAAAAAATAAGTCCATTTTTTCACCCTAAAAATGCTTACAAAATAGTGGATTAAAAATCCATTTTTGACAAAATCGAAAATGTGGATACGTATTTCTAAGCAAAATTTAATTCTGAACAAGAAAACCTAGGCGATATCCAAATTTGATGATAACTGGTTAGAGTTATTTCCCACGCCAGTTTGAAAAACCCCGTTTCGAGATAAACGCCTTTAAAGATAAAATTGCTCCCTCAGCGCGCCGGTACATGTTTTAGGAAATCGTTCCGTAAAGCGGTAAGGAATATTCTGGCGGACTTGGAGTCTTTTCTAAATTGAAGTATACATCCCAAGGAACATTTTAAGCAAAAAAAATGATTTTTTTTTTGAAAAATCAAAGTGCACTCCCCCTTAAGTGAGTCCCGTTGAATATTGAAAAATTCGTGAAAGTGAGGAGAATTTCTCGGTTTCCAACAAAGCGATAATCACGTCAACACATTCCTATCCATTCCCAAATTGACATACATTCGAACGCGGCCGGCGCTGTTATTGCCTATCGTAAAGTATGAGATCACCAGTTTTTACACATTGCAGATACAAGCTTCAGGTGATCTGGTAATAACGGAGTAGCAACCACGAGCGGTTAATCATTCTCATGCTAAATTATGTCCGTACTATCTGAAGTGATTCAGTACTTTCTGAAGCTTTTCCTTAGTAATTCAGTAGTTTTAAAACTGATTCCGAGATTTTCTAAATGGTTTCAGTACTTTCAGAAGAGATTTTTTTTAATGATTCTGTGCTCCCCAAGTGATTACAATTGTTCAGAAATGATTAAATATTTTCTGAAGGGATTCAATTAATACAAAGCACTGGCGTGCACAGGGTGGGGCAAGGTGGGGCAATTGCCCCCCCCCCCCCACTTTTATAGATAAGATTTTTATTTCCACATTTACAAAATCATGATTTAAAATAACTTGATTTATTGATAACTTGATTTGAAGGTAATATAACTTCATTTCATAATATAAGGGCACTGAAAATCTTTTATAGCATCATTTTCTATGAGATGATGCCTGAAAATTGCTCCACAAAGGTGCATGAAGAGACGAGTATACAAAAAATTTCTGGTGTTGTTTTTTTTTTCAAGGTGGTTCAACGAGGGTTAAAAGAACAGAGTAAAATTAAGGTTGAAAAAATTACACTTCGTGGCGGTAAATCGAAGAAACAGCTTTTAATTGAATATTTCTGGTGTAAAAATATCATCATGAAGGAACTAATCAAAATTAATAACTCTAGTGGAAAAATTGAATCACGCCAAAAAATTTGAGGTGGACATTTAACTGAAAATTTCTGGTGGAAAGTTCGCAACACTGTGGTGAATGTAGAAGCAAGGTTTATTAATTTTTCTGGTGCGTAATTTGCATCGTTCTGATGAATTCAAGCTTTATTGAAAATTTATGGTGGAAAATTGCACGAAGAGGCAAAGTCTGAAAATTGCACCACAAAGGTGCACGGTGAAACAAACTTCACTGATAATTTTTGGTGCACCGTTCTGGTGAATGGAGGAGCATGCTTTATTGAAATTTTCTGGTGCAAAATTTGCATCGCTCTGATAAATTAAATGGACAGAAAATTTCTGGTGGAAAACTTGCACTGGTCGGGTAATCGAAGGTACAAGCTTTATTTAAAATTAAGCTATATTGCAAATTTCTGGTGGAAAATCTGCACCGTTCTGGTGAACGAATGGGCAAGCTTTTCTGAAAATTGTTGGTGTAAAATTTGCATCCTTTTGCTGAATAGAGAAAAAAAATTTAATAATAATTTCTAGTGTAAAATTTGCACCATTCTGATCATTGGAGGGAAGCTGCCTTTCTGAAAATTTATGATGAAAAATCTGAAAATAAAAGGCAAACTTTATTCGGTGGAAAACCTGCAACATTCCGATGATAGGAGAAGCAAGCTATATTGAAAACGTCTGGTGGAAAATGGAAAAAGGAAATCTGCACCAATTAGAAGATTGGATAAGCAATTTTTATTGAACATTAACGGTGGAAAATTTGCATCGTTCTGGTCAATTGAAATTTTCAGGTGTAAAATTTTCAGGAAGCAAGTTTGTATTGCAAATTTCTGGTGTAAGATTTGCAACAATCTACTGCATGGAGGGGCGAAAAAATCAAGTTTTGAGTAAAATTTCAAAAGGATTTTAAGCAAAATTTTAAGCGAATACCGAGGAATATTTCTAGCTCATTCCGGGAAAAATTTCTGAAACTCTAAATGAATTTCAGTTCCAAGGTGTTCGAGTTCTAAAAAAATCCGAGAAGAAGCTCTAGGATATTGATTGCTGAGGAAAGTTCCAAAGAATTTCTGGGGAGTATTCCAAGAAATTCTGCGAATAATTTCTAGTGAACGAAATTTTGAATGAAATTTCAAAAGGATTTTGAGAAAAATTTCAAGGGAGTATCGATAATTTCTAGCTCATTCCGGGAATAATTTCTGGATAGTACAGAGGAAATTCTTCTGAAACTCTAAGACAGTTTTAGTTCCAAGGTGTTCTGAGTAAAAGTCAATAAGAGTTCTAAAAATAATTCCAGAGGACTTCTGAGAAGAACTTCAAAAGAGCTCAAAGAGTTCTAAAAATTTCGAAAAGAACCTCAAGGAATTCTGAGGATGGAGTTTTTTGCAACTGTACAAAGTTTAAAGACAGCTTTTGGATTCCCTTATTGCAAAGTCAGTATTAGTTTGCCATTGAACCTTGGTCTATTGTTGTCTACCTAAGAATTCGTCGAGGAATCTTCTCAAGTCATTTGTTACCGTAGTTAAAAAATTACAGCTGTTTAACCAGTGGAAATCATTGCAGATGAGACGAGCGATTGTGGCCACCACAAGCAGTTTGCGATTGTCATCAGGTATATTGATAATGATCGGCCGACGGAAACATTCGTGTGTGTGAGAAGGGGTGTTGAAAACAGACGCGACGACCATCTTCAATACCATTGCTGAGGTCCTGACAGCGATAAAGATTTCTTGCGAGCAGGTGATGGCAGTATGTTTTGATGGTGCCAGCACAATGGCTGGCAGCACTGTTGGAGTACAAGCCAAGTACAAGGACAAAAACAGCAATATACTTTTATGAAAAGCTTTGAGTGTGTTGGTTTATTTCCTTTTAATTCCGTTATAATTGCTTATCTTTAGACAGATACGCGTATTTCGTCTACTACGTGCAGACTTCATCAGTGCCAAGTACTCAACACCACTGATCAAGATTGGATTGTTCAAGAGCAATATACTATTTTTTCACTGCTATGCGCATTGTTTGAACCTTGTATGCGAAAGGAGAATGCGATTCTTATTGGTCATTTATGTCGGTTTGTCGGTGCTATCACGTGACTTCAGCTGAATCCAACCACCAAGGCAACAACATTTCGGTTCAAGCCCTACTAACGGGTGTTCAATAAAAAATGAATTCAGTACTTTCCGATAATTCCTGAAGATATTCGCTATTTTCCGAAGTGATTCCGAACATTTTTTTAAATGATTCAGTGCATTCCAAAGTGATTCAATTATTTCCGAAGTGAACTTTCCGCAATGATTCAGTACGTTCCAAAGTGATTTTGATTTTTTGTTAAGTATTTCCAATATTTTCTGAAGTTCGTCAGTACTTTGTGAAGTGACTCTTAACATTTCTAAAGTGATTCAGTACTTTATGAACTGATTCCAAAATGCTTTGAATCGATTCAGTTCGCTCAGAAGTGATTGTGAACATTTCTTAAATAAAACAATAAATTCTGACGTGATGCAGGATTTTCGAAAGTGATTGAAAACATTTCCTAAGTGAGTGAAAGCTTTTCTAAAGTGATTTCTTACTTTTATGAAGTGATTAACTACTTTCCGAAATGATTTAATTATTTTCTTAGGTGATTCAGTTCATTTCGAAGTGATTCCAAACTGTATTGAACCGATTCAGTACTTTTCAAAATGATTCCGAACTATTCTCAAGTGAATCAGTGCTTTCCGAAGTGATCTCGAGCTTTTTTTTTTATATGATTCCAAACTTCTTGCCCACCGTGAAAGCATTTTGAAAGCATTATCATGTTGAAATTTCTATCTTCCGCCACTAAAGATTAGCACCGTTAATGGTTAACCTCAACCGGATGAATTTCTTAACAGTTCAGTGGTACTATTTAACATCTTTTTTTCCCAATCACTGGCACAAGCCATCTCGCATTTACCATTTAAGATTTATTGTTTCCGTAACATGTTTATCAGGGGCGCAAGCCATTTCCCTCAACATGCATATCAAGAGTGATAGCTACTTTAAATTAAATTAGTTCAATATTTTTTTTAGCTGAACATGCTTAACAGAGGCGTAAGCCATTTCAAATTTAATATTTTTTTAAATGTCTTTCTGAACGTGTATATAATTTAAAGATTTTTATCAATTTTAACCTGAAAAGGTTTAGCAGGGGCGCCAGCATTTTACATTTTTTCTCATTTTTCTCTGATCATATTTACGAGGGGCGCAAGCAATTTAAAATTTAACAATACATTTTCAATTTTTCCTAGATGTTGTTTGCCAGGAGCGCAGTAGTCGTCGACCACCTACCCGTGACTACCCATAACCACAGCACTGAAGCCTGAAGAATCATGAAGTTTTTTTTCTGGGGTTCATTGAATTTGCCTAGATGACTTTTTACATTTGTAGTGGATACTCTCGTAACTTATCCTGAAGATCTTCCTTAAAACACTCACCATTTTTCATCACTCTGCTTGTCTAGAAGTTTGGACCTATTTTGACCATCCCGAGATAGCATCTAGATTTGTATAGGGTGACAGAATTAACTTGCAAGTCTACTAAATCTGCCCTCGAAATTGAGCGATGAGTGGCTGTCCATAAACTACGAACACAGTTTTAAAGATATTTTAGATTTTCCCCTCCCATTAAATAGTCTACGTGGCTTATGGATAGCCCGTAAATCTGCTCTTATTGGCCTGTACCAATAGTCTTCCGAAATTGCACTAGAAGTCCACAGAATTTGCTCATCTAAGTTTGTCCATCTTCGCATTTCAAGCTAATCGCATATTAGCTTATTACGTGCTCAATAGAGAGCTTTCGATGCCTGGTACCATTTTTGCATTGGTATATTGTGTGGCACCTCCAGGTATCGAACCCAGCCACCCAGTCCACCAGGAAGTCTACACATTGGACGAGATACGCGTATCAGTCAAAAGAGAAGCAATCATAACAAAATTTACAGAAAATCGCTAATCCTACTTCACAAGCTCTTCACATGGGATTCTTTAAGAGGTTCGATGTAATCAAAGCAACTGTAGAGTGGCAAATACAACCATGGTTCAGATCGTTTAAAAAATATAAATTAGCTATGTTGCGTATGTTAAGGAGTTTAAAGTTGATTTAAAGTTGGTGATTGCGATGGAATGTTAACATAAGTTTTCAAATAATCTACTGTAGTCTGTAGTTCTCAGATAAACTGAAATCCTGAAGTGTTATTCGGGCCAATTCTCAAGAGATCTTGTACCACCTTGATTACCATTGAATTATCATCATTTCAGTAATTACGTTAAAACACAATTTTGTTTTACTTACTAGTCACAATTATTATTCAACTCCATTTAATTAAAAAAAAAACATCCACAATCTACCACAATCACACGATCATTCCACTTGAGGGTACTCGAAAATACTCACACAGCTCACATCACTTGAGCCGATGACGCATTGAGCTTAAAAATTCTTCCCAGTTCAGTACCAGTGGTGTTAACTCGCTACCCTTCACAGCGAGATATGTACCATGACATCCTGCCAGCGCTGGCCAGTCACACTGATTGGCGCTAGCGTTCCAATGCAGACCGGGTGGACAGCTCTGCTCCTCTGGTCGGCCATTCCAGGTGCAGAGATAGTACTTGGTGCAATCCGCATGCGGAAGGAAAACTTCATCGTTGGGATCGTACACTTCGGGGCACTTTCCAACCGGGGTCGAGGGAGCTGCACTGGTCGTACTGATGGCCGGAGGTAGCTCCGTAGTTGTCGTTAGTGGATTGATAGTCCCGGCTGTGCAACCTGCAGCCTGAGGCCAATCGCAAACGTTCGCATTCTGATTCCAGTGCAGCCCGGATGGGCAGCTCTGCTCTACAGCACCGTGCTGGGTACAGATGTAAAACTTGGAGCAATCGACATGGGGAAGAAAGATTTCGTGACTTGGATCGTACTCCTCGGGACACTTTCCAGCAACGGAAACGGCAGCCGCTGTGGAACTTGAGGACGGAGTCGATGAAGCAGGTTGCAGTTCACAGTTGACATTTGCTTCGAAATCGCAAGCTTTGATGGCATCGTTCCAGTAGGTTCCGGGGGGACATTGCTGTTCAATTACTGCACCCCAATTGCAGGTGAAGAATTTACTGCAATCGGTAGGATGAGGGTGATATTCGGCATCTTCAGGTCCGTTTTCCGGAAAACACGGGGAGCTTGTGGAAGCGTGGTGAATCACTACGTTCAGAAGGACTGCAAGACACAATTGAACTGCAAGAGGATTAAAATAACTTTGAATCTATGGTTAAGATCATCCAACAGAAGTCGATAGATACCTTTCATGTCCACGTTTGGATTGCTACACAGAAATCAGAACACTTCTGGAGAACTTACTGTTGGCTATTGTCATAAGCTTGGTCAGCTAACTGCTTTTATACTGGAGTGGACAAATCGCTAAGTGATTCCCGATAAGTGTCGGTGTTGCAGTAGAGCGGATGTATTCTTAAGTTTATTTATTTTTGATAGCTTCAGTGACGTATTCGGTTGATTCAGAGGAATTATCGGATTGAGTAGCAGTATTGGTTACATGTGTCGCTTCAGAAAATGTAATCTATGATTGCAAGGGTAAATGACTAATGTTGAGTCAAACTATTTTCTACTTTATGAAACGATACTTGAACACAAGAACATGTATTTGGGTGTTGTGATATGTTACGAAAAGTGATGAAAATCATGATCACTGAAAAGTCTTACGAAGCAGTGATTGATCATTCTCGCATCACACTCAAGGTTCCTACTAGTATCGGAGTGAGATATCTATGATCGGGTTATCTATGATAGGTATTTCCTTAAGACAGTCATTTCTGAGAGTTATTATAAATTACGAGTATGTAGGCGAAGCCTCTAAGTGGGGCTGGGGTAAAGCGATTAAAACGTTGAATTTAAAATGAAGTCAATCCTGAAGAGGCACGTCGTCTGGCTATCATATCTTTGCTCACTCCCGATTCTGATTCAGCCAAGCGTTTTCGACACAGTGACTCTAACGTGGTGACAATCCACGCATAAAAAAATCAGGGTCGTCTCATGGGATCAAAACTGTCTTTGGATGTGACATCGGTACAGCATCGTTTAGATCTGCATAGACGGGAGTCCTCTGGACAGTCAAAGAGTACGGAGGGTACGGCGCCAACTGGGATTGAACCCAGACCTGCTGAGGTGAAAGACAATCACGTTTACCACTACGCCACCAGCGCCGCTATTCCTAGAATGTCGTAACCTTCCTGCTATAATTTAGACATCTCTGATATTTCCGGAACATTCCAAAGGTTCCCACTATTTTCCTGAAATAAGAACGATATAATAAATGTAAGTCTTAGATCCTCAATGAAATACTCAAAAAATTTCTAAAGTTAATGGAACTGCCCTTAAATTATCGAATCTAATTCTTCAACATCTTAAAACTTCCCCAAAATTCTAGAATATCCTTAGGTTTAACGTGCTTCCTGATTTTATAAGATCTGCGCAAAATATTTCTGAACTTCGCTAAGTTCCCAATGGGCCTGGGTTCAATCCTAGCCGAGGTTGGTGGGATTTTTCTGAGGCATAAAAAGCCGTTGGTCCCGGTCCATATGTGTTGAATGGATGCGATATCCTACGCAGGTGTGGAAGCTGCCTTCCTGCACATTCGATTGCCGTCAATTGATGGTAATCGATGTCCGTCGGTGATTGGCACTAGATTGCGGAACAGAGACCGACGTTTAATAAAGGAAAGCAGAAAATGAAGAGATACGCAACATAAAGTTTTTTTTTTTCCTGATATTCGTAAACTGCCATGAAGTTTTGAGACCTGCCCCAAGGTTTACTGAAAGGGTTTTGCAGTTTTTCTGAAATTAATGGATCTGTCCTGAGGCTCGGTGTTCTGCACAGAAGTGAATTGTCCAGATATCTTTGAACTGTCCGGAAGCTATCGGAAATTTGACCGCACATACACATGAGTTGGTCCATATGAAACCAAACTATTTGTACCTGTTGGGTACATCAAATTTTATATCTTTTGCGCCTACATATTTTAAGGCACATAGGGGAAATGGATCTAAGATTGGGCCCATCGCTGAAAATCTGCTATCTATCAATTTTATCTAGATGACCGCGAACGAATGGATATTTTTGGTCGCTATTGAGAATTTAGTCAATTGCTGAATTTATGTATGGGCCCAAATTAGGGGCATTTAGGCCGACATTATATCCATTTCCCCTATGTAAGCAGTTTTTTTATCAATCGTTTGTTTTTGAGTTTGAAACATTTTCATGCCACATTTAAAGGTGCAAATTGAATCTAGATGTAGAAAGAACATTTCCCATGTTGTATGTTTGCACAATTTTGCTCATATGAGCGCATAGTAATCCAAAAATACCCTTATACATTATGGTGGGTAGCTTTTATAAGAGATTGATATGTTCGTGTTAATTAAAGTTAGTTAACAGTTAGTGTTAATTAAAGAATATGAATAAAAATAACCGGTTTTCGGAGCTGGCTACTCATGGAGTAACCATGATTAACCACCATGACAGGCCTGTTCGTAAGCATTCCTTGGGATTTTTGTTTTGGAAAAGGCAAATCTAAAGGGAACTCTCCGGGAGGGAATCCCAAATTAATCCTGAGGAGAATTGCAAGGTTATTTCCTGGAGGGCATTCATTGAAAAAAAAATAAAAGAATCAACGGAATGCGGATAATTTCAAGCATATGTCGAGAGAAGAACTAAAAATCAATCTGAGAGCATTCCAAAGGAATTCCAGGAAAATTCTGGTGACAGTTCTATCACAATTTTGAGTAAAATTTAAAGACTATTCTGACAGGACTTTCAAGATAAATTTGAAGTAGAGATTATCGCAATTCCGAAAAGAATTCAATGGTAATTCAGAGAACATTTCTAACTGAATCCTGAGGGGAATTCCAAGTTAATTTTGGGGATAGTTTCAAAGTAATTTAGAGCAGAATTCCAAAGGAATTTTTTAGATAATTCAAGGGACTTCCGAGTTGAGTTCTATAGTTTAGTTCAGTTTAGTTTAGTAAAGTTTAGTTTCGATTAGTTTAGTATAGTTTAGTTTAGAGTGGGGTTTTTAGGTAAGTTTAGTTTAGTATAGTTTAGTTTAGTTTCGTTTACTTTAGTGTAGCTTAGTTGAGAATAGTTAAGTTAAGATTACTGTCTTTAATCGCATATCAGTCCCATATGAAAAAAAGTAGACATTGAGAAAATGGCAGTCGAAGTTACGAAGTGCAACTCCCATATAAATATTTGAAAAATCATAGTTAATTTATTGATCATTTATTCATGTCAAAATCTGTTGCATGAAGCTTGCATGTTTTATTAAATTAGAGAAAAATACGTCTATTCGAAAAGCAAAACTTGAACTTAAATTATAGACGATTGAATTTCAGGATGGGACTGATATGCGACTATGTTGCTTGATGGGACAAACTGACTTGATGTTGTTTTCATATTTTTAATTATCAAAGTCCAAAGTTTTATCACATAATATGATTTTTCTTTTTTGTAATTACTTTATTTGTACAGGCTCAATCGAATAAACTTTACAGAGCCGAGTTATCCTTTGCGTTATACATTGTTACTGTCTTATATTTAAAGTTAAAGGAACTGGACCGAGTACTCGCGGTCGTCTCGAGGTTAGTGGAGATTTACAATTTTTTGGATGGGAAAAGGGAAGAAGGAGGTTTTAAATGTGGTTTACGATATAACTATTTAATTAATCCTAAAGCATGAAATTATTTCTATTCATCTTGAAAACAAACATTGAAAAAAAAACCCCCGGACGTACAAAACACAAACTAAACACAGGTTAATCAAACTTACAATCTAAGGTTAATATCCTTAAAGTAAACATATATGAGTTTCATAAACTCCAGATCGCGTCTAGCCAAAATATCCCGAACTGGAACATTAGGTTGTCTACCTCGAGCCCGAAGGGAATCATAAAAATGTGATCTGACTCCACGATACTCCACACAAGACCAAAGGATGTGATCAGCGTCCTGGTAACCTTGTCCACATTCACAGAGATTGCTGTCTCCCAACCCCACACGGAACAAGTGAGCGTTTAGACAATAGTGATTGGACATGAGACGAGACATCACGCGTATGAAGTCTCGACTCAAGTCCAACCCTTTGAACCATGCAAACTTCGACACCTTAGGGATAATTGAATGTAGCCATCGTCCCAAGCTCCCTTCACTCCATTGATGTTGCCAGCTAACGAGCGACTGCTGACGATAAATAGAGAAAAATTCACTATAGGCGATCTGTCGATCATAAATGTCGCCTTCCATAGCGCCCACCTTCGCAAGTGAATCCGCCTTCTCATTGCCCAAAATTGAGCAATGCGAAGGGACCCACGCGAAGGTGGTGATGAAAGAGCGCACGGATAAAGCACTAAGCAGTTCTCGTATTTTCAAGAGAAAATACGAGAAGTGCTTTACCGGCCTAATGGAACGGATAGCCTCGACAGAACTGAGACTATCCGTAAAAATAAAGTAGTGGTCTGGAAGAAGTGAAGCAATAGTTTCCAAAGTGTAGTGAATTCCTGCCAGTTCAGCCACATACACAGAACAAGGAGATTCAAGTTTTCGAGAGGCGCTATGAAATTCATTAAATACACCAAAACCAGCGGACTCCTCTATTAGAGATCCATCTGTGAAAAACGTTCTTGCAGAATCAACATGGCCAAACTTTGCAGCGTATAATGACGGAGCAATCATAGAACGATGATGCTCTGGAATTCCGCGGATTTCCTGCGTCATAGATAAATCAAAATTCACTGAATTGCCGAAATCGGAGAAGACTACACGATTGGGAATATTTCTTGAAGGGCTGACATCCTGTGTTAAATATAGGTAGTACAAAATCATAAAACATGTTTGAGGATTTAGCTCCAGAAGCTTCTCAAAATTTGCAATCACCAGTGGGTTCATTACTTCGCAACGGGTGAGGAGCCTCAGAGATAACTCTGAAAAACGGACGGATAGTGGCAACATGCCCGCCAGCACTTCGAGACTCATAGTATGAGTCGAGTGCATGCATCCTAACGCGATACGAAGACAACGATACTGGATCCGTTCCAGCTTGATGATGTGCGTTTTAGCTGCCAACTGGAAGCAAAAACTGCCGTACTCTAAAACCGATAAAATCGTTGTCCGGTACAACGTCAGAAGATCTTGTGGATGGGCTCCCCACCACGTTCCGGTAATTGATCGAAGGAAATTGATCCTTAGTTGGCATTTTCTTCTCAGATACTCAATGTGCGATCTCCAGGTGCATTTGGAATCGAACCAGACCCCGAGATATTTAAAAGACATGGAATGAGTGATCGGTTTACCCAAAAGTTGAAGCTTCGGTTGTGCTG